ATATTTTTCCTGTTAAAAAAAAAGACAATAATAAAGTCTCTAACACACACAAGTAACATTTCACAGCGCAGCAGACAACATTTAATCTTTAAGTTCTCAGGTTCCAAACATTCTTAAAAAGCACACTGAGCCCTTCTCTTCCTGCCTTCATAATTCAGTTTTATAGCAGTCAAACTGAACAAAAAGTATCAGTCTAAACTGCTTGCACATCAGTTAATTAAATTTCCCTGGCATGCCTGTGCATAAGTCACCCAGTATGCACTGTATCAGTACCTATGCTAAAACATGATCTAGTATTACGAAACTTTCAATTCATGTACAGAATGACAAAGCTGTGTGTTATTTCAGAAGTTATGTCTTTCTTGTTGGATCATGCTTCTGTAGATCAGCTTTAGACCAACAGCATTGGGAGACAAATGGCTTATATTATACAAACTGTCTTCTATCACAAAACAGAAGATCTCAAAAGCAGCAAGAAAAGACAGTGGTGGACTAAGGCAGGATCCAGGCCCTATGTAGAAGGATTTCCAGACTAATTAAGACTTTTGAGACTGAGCCAGTATGATTAGATGTAGATATTAAAAAGTACAACTTTAACTTTTCATCTGTGTGCTATGAAAGGCAAGTCATCCACACACTAGGCCAGGCAAAGGCCATCTCTTGTTTGGAGACTGTATGGTGACATGTAGTCACGTGGTGGTGTTTTCAACCTCATCCTGATTCTCAGGACATAAAAGCACCAGTCTGTCTACAGCCAGCCTCGACAGAGGATCTTAGATTTATCTTAAGATCAGGGTGCAGTAGTCACAGCAGACACCCAAGGACCTACAGGTCTTCTGACATGAGTTTCACCTGCATGAGCAGTGCACAGTGGAGCAAGCAGAGATTGGTGCAACACCCTCCATCTGGACAAGAACAGGAAGAATTAGTAAGTCTTTCTAGTGGGTATACAGATGCTTGTAACAAATCTCTTTTGCAACAGCCTAATAAACACTGAATCACAGAAAAACCTACCCTTTACAACACAAAAGATAACCAAAGCCTTTGGAAAGAGCAGATGAGGTCATTAGTCCTCTGGACTGTCCTTTGGTCTTAATATCTTTATGTCCGTTAAGTGTAATTACTAAGTGTAAGCAAAAAGAATCTCTGTGGTCTATAGTTTGTCTCTCCTCTGCTTACTGCTTACATTATATATAACTATGATGTTATCCCGATTTTTTTAGTATTTTCATACTAGGTAGGACACTGAGGCCTAGTAAAAAAAGTTATTTTTAATGACTATCCAAGCCACTAGAATAGTGATCAAGCTTCAAGCTCTACAAGCAAAACCAGGCTCTTCAACATCCCAAAACAGCCAAAAAGATGACACTTAAAAGGCAGTAACTGCCTTTCTGCAAGATCGGGACATCAGAGGAAAACATTCATTCTGCAGTGGTCCTGATTAACTGCCCACAAATACTACATAGTTTCTATTAAAATCCAGACATTCAACATGTTTCTAGGCTATTTCTCTCTCAGGTTGTTGGGAGTAAAATTGACATGTTTAATTCCTTACTATAGACTTCAATAGCAGTTATGCATCTTACAATCTATAGAAGTCAGTAAGGACAAGGCTGCTTGTGTTACTAATGCAACTAAAAGAAGTGCCCTACATTGTCCTTAGGACAGCTAGTTTCTATAATCACTTAAATAATGTATCTCCACAAGTTGGTTGCATGTAGCTAGAAAATCTGCTGTAAGTATTTTTTATGCAAGTATTGGAGGTGATCAATTTTTAAGGTTTAAAATAACCTGTTGATTTAGCTGTTACTCAGAAGTATTTGTTCAAGCTCTAAGGGAGAAAACTGGGCTTTCTCTAACAAATTTGACCTTCAAAAGAAGATGAGTTGTGCAGTATTTAAAATCTGAGAGAAAAATTTCGTTACCTCTTTTGCTAAAAGAGCACTGATGTTATAAAAGCAAAATAACCCTAGTATTAGAAGTGTTGATGCCACTGGGCCATTTTGACAGACCTCAGCTAGGAATCAAATACACATGCCAGCAAGTCTCCATTCCAACTCCTGGTGCTAAGGTGGTAATGAGTAGTTAGGCACAGTAAACTTCTAATCTAGCAGAGCTACAGCCACACTCTAATCACAGCATGTGAGTTAAGCTCTTAATCCTCTTATTACACTGAACTATTTGTCTGTGCAACTATCTTCTGCTAAAGCAAAATACAAATGTGTTACTATGACATGTAATTTCAACACTGCATATCTGCATTTTCTGTTACCATTCATTCTTGATCTTTATACATCAACCTAGGAAGGGCCACAAAGTATGTATTTCATATTTTCAATGTATGGTTCCCATTTAATTCCTTGTGAACTTTAAGAGGTTGTGCTCATCTCTGGGGATACAAACCATGTTCACATTGACATCTACAACTTCTACTTAACTTTCATTACACCATCTTGAAAGAAAAGCAATGTAACAAAGCACTCAATATACAATCACAGATTATCTGAAATAAATGATTAAATAATGACTTAAACCTACAAGGGTGAACATCATGGAAAGAAACACAACAGAAATACATTCTACTTACTTAGCAAGGTATCTTTCAAGTCCACAGCACCTCTTCTGCAAGCCCTGTTTCTTGAAATGTTGGGTTTATGCACCTCTAATGACAAAGACTTTCAGCAGAATACATAATTAAATCATGATTGATCTTTCTTCCTAGAACCAAGTTCCATCACTCTTTTCAGTGACTGATTTCATGACCAACCTAGAACTACAAGGTCACAAAGATATTGTCTAGATTTTGCCTGAATATTTTGTTCATTAGATAAAGCTTGGCAAAGCTACTAATTGGTTTAAGGAGTGTCAATAAGTAACACCCCCCCATACCAAAAACATGAATACCACCTTCTCTTAGTAATGTGCTTAAGTGTACTTACTTTCAAGCATTTTTCCCCACACCCATTTTGTTCACATCCATGGTCATTTTTTTCCACTGCATGAACCATCAAACAAACTTCAAATGCAGCACATACTTAAAATGATTGTGTAAGGGATATAACCCAAGAACTTTGTGGTTACACCATTTCGCTAAATTAAAAACAAGCAGAATTTTAATGCATTTTGCATCCTGTTCTTGATTTAACTAAGTTTGTATTTGGGTGATAAGCAGTTGACAGTGGGACAGAATAGTGTGTGGGGCCGAATAGTGTGTGGTACAAAATAGCACACTGATTTTGTTAAGAACTTTCAAGGTCACAATTTGCTATGCTGCACTACCAAAACAGCGTTTTAAAAACAGGGATTGTTCATGTATCTTGCAGGTTAGGCTTGAAACCCAGGACTTTTTGGAGGGAAAGGACATTGCTTAGGTAAAGGGGAGTGGCAAGGCTAATTGCATTTCAAGCCACAACTCTTCAGGAAATGATCCACGTCATTCCCATTCCTGTGGTTTTGCTATTATGATCCAAGAATATGCACAGAAAACCAAGTCAGCACCCTGGGATGATCTGGCAAGTGCTTTTCTGCCTATGCCAGCTAGTGTTCTAGTAACAGACAACCTGCAGAGGCTCTGGTTAGCTGAAATTGAGAAAACTGTGGAGACGAGCAGAGTTAGTGAAACCCTTATGATTAATTTACAGCTTTTCATGTATAGCAAGAGATGTAGACCTCAAAGGTTTATGGGATATAAATGAAATTCACTTCATGTGGGAGGTGACAGGTGAAAAAAGATGACTAAATATCTACCAAGCCAGATGAGCAATACCCTATATGCTAAACAGGCAAGCCAGTGAAACCCACAAAGAATTCTGAATTGTAGCCATTGGGCTCATATGGAAACCATTAGAGCTGAATCAGGGGAAGACCTAGGTAAGCACAGGGCAAACAACTCGGAAGTGTGGCTCTGAATTGAAGCAATTTCTACATCACAGATGCCAAAGGCAACCCTATTATCAAATGCTGAACTTTGGATGAAATACTGAATAAATAGGAAGAATTTTGTTTCCACTCTAATAAAGACAGTAGTCAGGCTTACTCTAATTAGTCAACTTTTTTCTAATTTCCTTTAACTATTTCTATGAAACTATTTAGCTCATTAAGAACCACGAAACATCATAGACCTAAATAACTGCCTAGTAGCAGCAATGCAATTAATTCATTAGGGACAAACAGTCAAGCTTTTTTCCCCACAGGAAGAAGGCATGGGTAATTACCCTTCCATTAATCCATTTTCTCTCAGAAGAACATACTAAAATACAGAGAACTTACCCTTCCTAGGTCTGCATCTCTGTGAGGAGCTACTACACAAAGAAGCCTAATTTAGCTTTTTTCAGAAATGCTGATTTTGTTAAACATTAAGCAAAGCTGTATGGTATCTTCATGCTGTAACTAAAGCAATCTAGTGTCTAGAATCAAGAAACACATAGCTATTATTATTATGCCCTAATCACTACCTCCTTAATACTACTAGTCAGGCTAGCTTTTAGCGAAAGTGACAATGTCACTGTGAGCACATTGGGTCTTACCTGATCATTTGTCTTAACCACCCTATGATTCTTTCATGCTATGCCCTGTAATTATTTTCTGGTATTCTCCACCTGCATTTCTAGTCCCAAATTTGTAAAATATTAAATAATCACTTCATGCTACTGTATAAATAGAGCACCTGACCAGAATGAATGACTCCCAGCATACCTTCTGCAACTCTAAGCAAATGTGCATTGTTTGACGTTTTAATAACAATGATAAAAGCAAATATAAGCAGTTTAAAAAAACACCAGTTTTCTTAAAGAAAACTTATGTAGTTACCCTTCAAAACTCACAGCTGATGAAAACCACTAGAGACCATCTCCACATCAGTTAGAAAATTAATAATGTAAACAGGGCTTCATAATCACAAAAGTGAGTAGAAACAAAGTTCCTAAATAAGATGAAGATAAGCTGAGCGGACAAAGAAGGGAATGAAGAACAACTAAAGTCTAGTATTTCATTAAAAAAATTGGCTTTTAATATAAATCTGAATACAAAAATAACCAAAACACCCTAGAGTCATCGCAAACACATCTTCAAGGCTTTCATCAGTTCCCTGACAATCTGGCCAGCGCTTGTCTTCTCTGTTCTGCAGTCATATACTCACAGGCTTCCAAAATATTTACTATAATTAAAGTCTGTTGAACTGTTTTTGCTTTCACCCATATTCTTCCGTTCATTCCCAGCACCAGTTCAAACGGGTACAATTGTGACAGCTCCTGAATTATTTCACATTTGGGAGCCAAGAGTCTGTAAACAGGACAAAAAAAAGTCAGAGGATGAAGTCCCCACATTTACAGACACAACGTTATTATCAATCAGCAGCACCAGCAGTACTGCTGCTGTGAGAGGTATTAAAGCAACACCAAAATGTAAGATGATCAAGTTGCATATACATCCAAAGCAGCAATACAGTATGATTTTTAAGTCTCCTCTCAAAATACATGCACCTAAAAAATACAACAGCTGTGAATTTAGTTGGTTGTTTTCCTTATTAGATTCAGAATGCCTGACAAATTTAAAATTAATTGTTACTTTTATAACAATTCTATGCGTTAATAAATTTTGAGAGTACACTGGTTGACAAAATGACATTTTTTAAGTGCTGCTGTTTCTAAACCTGGCAGCCAAGAGATGTCTTTCAAAACAGGACTTCTTTCTACTTCAGGAGACAATACTAACAACGGTGAAAAGACTACTTCGGTTTTATTAGGTGACAGCATCCTGAAAAATAAAATTCTCATGAATACTATAGTATCTCTAGGACTAAATCAAGTTTGAACAGGCAATTCACAAGGAAGAAAAACATATCATGATTCAGCAGTTTATGTGTAATATACTGTTATTTCTTTACTTGCATACATACAAAATTTGGAAAAGAGAATGGCTGCAATAACGTTTTTGTATCAGTTCACACTGACTTCTGATGGGACAGATAAATCAGACAAATAATTGCAGGTATGAAACAACTGCTCAACATGTCCAGACTGCTTACCCAAAGAACAAAATCAAACAAAAAAAAACCCCACCCAAAAGCAACAACAAAACTTGACTTGCATTTATCCATGTAATCTGGTATTCTTTAATAGTCACAAAAAAATCTTGTATTTAGATGAGCATAAGTAACTCCAAAGTTCATAATACATGTAAAAGTTAATGAAACAGTTCCTGGCCTAGCATGTCAGTTTTCAGTTAAAATCCTACACATTTTTTAGCTGCATCTCTATTTCAATGCAAATTATTTTTCTTTTTAAGTCAGAAAATCACGTATACTAGTGTGGAAGGACCCCTTTAGGCAGCTGTCAGCCAAAAGTACCTCACTATGCAGAAAAAGGACAGTAAGCATTTCCAATTTTTGCATTCCAAGGTAGGACATACATACCTGAAATGCCACCTTGAATGTCTGATTTGCCTAGGACAGTAGCTCTATTTTCCATACTGCCTTGGCAACAACATCACTTTTCTTTTTTTTTTTAAAAACAGATCATGCAACACCATGTAGAAGAGCATCTATATCTCTTAAGAGAAAAAATAAATGTTCTTTCTTGGTCAATATCCATACTCTATTCATCAAAGCTGGTGTAAATGCACTAAAAGCATTACACACTGATTACCAAACTGCCCACACTGCTCAAAGGAAATAGTTGTGTGAATCCTACCCACCATATTATGTGTCAGGGTACTACTCACGTTTATTAGTACTCACTTTCTTATTAGGCCTAAGGAAACTTTAAAGAGGAATCCATCTTGTCCAATTATTCCCATTCCACTTGATTTTCCACTGCCATCTATACAGACCATCTCTGGTTCCATGTCTTTATTTGCTACAAGGAACTGACCGTAAATAAGATCTCCCACCTAAACAAAGCAATGTCAAAGAACAAAAGTAACAAAAGATCATTCTGCACATTTGTAACAAATACTCAGCTGATAGAGATCCTCTAATAAGGCCACAAAATAACTATAAAACACTGATGATATGAAAATAAACTGTTATAAGTAGGAATTTTTAATTTCTCTTCTTCTACTCAAGACATCATCCTTCCACAGACAATTCTCTTGTACCAGTACAGGAATTTCTAAGGTAAAAGAACATAATTTCCTTTACTGGAGTTAAACAACTCTGTTCTTTTCAAACACCAAAGATGAATTTCTCTTTCCTTAGACTTTAAGGGTGTTAAAAGTCTTAGTAAACCTGTTCTTGTAATCATTTATCAGGACCAGAAAAAAAAAATAATCACACCAACCTATTCTGCTTTTCTTTAGAGTCCATTTTTACATTTTGGTGATGATCTTCCTGTGGCATGCATGTGCCACACAACTGCTTAAAATAGTGTTGGTAAAAAAAACCAAAAGCATTTTCTACCAGCATCACATGGCATAAAAGCTTGTTTTAACACCTTAACTGCAGAGTGCTCCTTTGCATGCACATTACTCTATGAGCCAGCAGTGTGCTCAGGTGGCCAAGAAGGCCAATG